GATGATGGAAAGTCCTAATTTATTCGGAGAAAATCGACTTTCCGTTTGCAATCATATATTTTTGTTTGTAACAGTAAATATGTCTCTTGTCATTTACTATATTTTTATATTACAGGTAATTTTTCTTTTGTGAAAATGAACATTTGATAACGTTTCGTATATATATATATATATATATATATATATTGAAAGAATTATTATTAATATTATTATTTAATATATGAGGAATAATTATATTTATTTAATTTGGCGTAAGATTATTGGATTCTATAGGAAAAAAATGTGTGATATGCTTGACGAATAGGATATTCTAATAGAGAGAAGGATAGCATGATACCATAATACTCGAAGATTTACGATCGACTGCATTACTTAGTGATTTTCATCGATAAGGGTGTGTTTACGACGTGCGATGACAGCAGTACATTGCTTTTTACCGTTAACTTTGCGTAAAGATCTTACAGATGTTTAGAGAAACCTTACTGTATAAGTTAATGATAGATAGTACTATATGCGTTTCTAAATTTTATCAAATTATTCCGTAACAAATATCTTCCTACAATTTCAACTAGTATATTTTATACTATATCCATATTAAACTCATCCAGTTTTATGTTTTCAATCAATTAATTCGTTAATCTCATCTAAGGGGAAAATTTATTCTAATTCATATATATTAGGCAAATTAATGCATGTTCTTGCGAGTAATATGGATATTATCACGCAGATATTGGTTTATTAAATATCAAGTATCAATCGAATCATCTAATTTTATCTCTAATTTGTAAATTAAATCAAACTAAATGCATAATTATACGCATCGAATAAGATTTAGAGCTTGATTAGAGTGTGCATAAGTAGCGACAGTTCTCTAAGCACGATTAACAAGTATTTCTATAGACACACATACAAACATATACTAGTTGAAAAGTAGCCCAAAGAGATCGATTTTCTTACGTCGAAGACCTGATTCTTTCATTAGCAACCTGATTTCTCGCCAACGTGAAATTCTTTTTTGCCATACGAGATTTGATAACATTAACATTGAAATTTGTTAATAAAACTAAAGCAAGAATGAAAGAAATGTTTTGGGTCGATTTTCTTTTCGTTGAAACTTCGATTGACAAAAAAAAAAATTAATCGTGTTTGATGATAAAACCGGACAACGAATGACGTTAAATCGTACGTCATGTCGAATATGCTGACGAAGGTGGCTATGCATTAATCGCATCTATTCGATCATTAATCATTTCTATTTTAAATGACAACGTCTACAAATAATAACGATGATTCGCTGAAAAATCGTATAGTCCTATTTTTATTCTCGTAATAAATTTCGTCTCTTGTTATATCAATAAATTCATTCTAATATCTTTCATTATTTATCTCTTCCAATCATTCGTATATATTTTTTAACATGTGATTTGTGGCAATGTAACACACATTCAATTTACAAATACTTTTAATTCGTGCTATTGAAATTATAAATATGTTTATAATAATTTTGTTTACTTTATACTTAAACATTTTTCTTCGTTAAAAGAATACAAAATGAAGATGAATAATGGAAGAAGAATAAAAGATGGTAACTTTAGTAATACTATTTGGTTTGTGCAACTAGTTACCAAGACGATACTACTGTAGTCACATAGGATGCATAGTGCATACGGTATTTGCACAAGGCAAGCTTACCTTTCAAGTCATACGAGTTATTTAATAGGAGACACTTAACGCCGTAAACGATACCTCGGATACACTTTGTAGTTTATCAAAGTGGAAATAAATGTATGGCGTTCGTGGCGCGCAACGGCATGCAGCACATTTCCTGTAACGCGTTAGAGAAATTGAAAAATGATACACCCTTTTAGTGTTCTCTCTATATACAATCCATGTATTTCCATATATACTTTGGTCCTTTATTATAATAATACTTATGGATGTGTTGCATGTAAGACAATGTTCGAAGATTACTACCAACATACTATGTTTCTATTGTTAAGAATAAGAGAAAGTTATTCAATTCAAAGAAATCATTTATTTATTTCTATAATTATACTTATTTATTAAATTTTCTTGCAAAATATATATATATATCAAATTAATTGGAATAATTTCAGATTTATTTTTAATTTGAATTGAAAAAAAGAACAAGCTTTTTTAAATGAAGTAATCAAATGTGTTTTTGTTTTATCAGTTTTTGATTAGTCGAATTATTAAACGTTGATGCATTTGCATATTTTTTATTTTTTTTTTTTTTTAAAGAACTAACATCGACCTTCGATCTTGGTGAACGATTAAACGTGACACAATGATTATGCGCTTACATCATTTGTTACGACAGTAAAGAAACGCGAATACGTACGCGTGTGCATTCAGCGAAAGGCTGATACAAAGAAATTTTTCGTACACGTCTAAAAACACACTTGGATGAATTAGTAATTCATTGCGAAACGCATTCATTTTCTTCACCTTCTTCTTCTTCTTCTTCTTCTTCATGTCTGGTTTTTTTTTTATTTTTCATCATTTCATTTTAAAAAATTTATACTTTATTAATAGATAAAAAATTGTTTTCGTGTTTGACCATACAATCAAGTAATTATTTCTCTATAAAAAAATACAACAATTTTATTGAAATATTTCCAATATTTCCTCTTTTCCATTAATTCAAAAAAAAAAAGGGAAAAAAAGGGAAAAAAGGGAATCAACATGTTACTAAACTTCCTTTCCGTTTACCGATCGTGAGTCATCGTCGTGGCTTGTTTCCGTCTGCTAGCATAAGGCTTCATAACGATATAACTAACACACACACTCACACACACAACAACAAAATCATATATACGTACAAACAAATACATAGATAAATATACACACACACACACACAATGCACATAGCAATGCGACGAGTGGCGCCCCCGTTAGAAATCGCGAGCACGATCTCACGCCATACCTCACGTTGTCTTCGTGACGCAAAGTGGTCGATCAAAACGACGCCTATTTTATACATTCGATTCAAATTTTTATCGGGATTTTAAACTTTATTATATCGGTGAAAATAAACAATAACAAACAAGAAGAAGAAAATTCTAAACTAAAAACAATAAATTAAAAAAAAGAAAGAAAAGCACGCGTACCTAAAAACAATATTCCATAATTAAAGATCGAAGAAATAAAAATATACAAAATACAGTTTTATATATATATATATATATATAAAAAGAATAAAATATATAAGGATGAAAAAATAGTATTTAAAAGACAAAGAAGAAAAAAGCTTAAAATAATAAAAGAAAGTATCTATTATAAATAGATAATTAAGTTTAATCTCTCTCTTTCTCTCTCATTTGAGGAATAAAAATAAATGAAATATCTGCATTATCTGTGTGTAAGTAATAGATAAACTATATAAATAAGCACGTGTGTTAGTTGTCGTCGTCTGGCAGGTGGTGGTGTCGCATGGACGCGCCTGCGTGTCTGATCTTTGGGACCAGCCAGCCAGCCAGCCAGGAAAGCAGCAAAGTGTCATATATATATAATATATATATATATATATATATAATGTGTGCATACACATATTTACAAATGTATGTGTGTATCTGTGTCTCTGTCTTTATTACTTTTGCGCGCGCACACGGTAGCAAAGACCCGGGCAGTATCGATTTCTCGACGTGAGATAGAAAGAAAAAGACAAAAAGAAATAGAAAGAGAGAGAGAGAGAGAGAGATAGAAATACACGCGTGCGCGCGAGCGTTTCAACGCGAGGAGGGTCACCAGATCGAGGGGGGAGGGTGAGGTAGACGATCGTCGTCATTGTCGGCGCGTCTTTCGCGATGTATCCGCGGTGCTGGTGAGACAGGAAGATTATTTAAAGAAGAATAAGAAGACGAATAAAAAGAATTTCTGTCAAGAAAGAAGTGAAAGAGAAAGAAATAGAGAGAGAGAGAGAGAAAGAGAGAGAGAGAGAGAGAGAGAGAGAGAGAGAGAGAGAAGGAAGAAATAATAAGTGTAGTAAAAACTAGTGAAAAAGAAATCAAAAAGTAACTATTGTTCTAAGTTCATTCAAGACAAGAAAAAGGGAATAAGAAGAAGAAGAAGAAGAAGAAGTAGAAGAAAATAGAAGAAGAGGAGGAGGAGAAGGGGAGGAAGACTGAAATTTTATTATTTATTTAATTATTTATTTATTTATTTATTTATTTATTTATTCTCGCGTGGTGTATATAAGAAGATAGACGAGAACAAAGTATAGGAAGATTCGATTTCTTTTTTTTTGTTTTTTGATTAAAAAAGAAAGGGACAAAATAATAATTAAAAAAAAAAAAAAAAAGGAAGAAACGAAGGACGCCCGGCGTCGGTGACGCCATTGCATATTTTCTCTCTCTCTCTCTCTTTCTTTCTCTCTTACTCTTTCATTCTCTCTCCGGTTTTTTATTTTTCAATTTGTTTTTTTTTTTATTAGAAAGCAAGATTTAGAGTTAGAAGAGAGCGAGATAAGAGTAGAGAAGAAGCTTTAACCTTCTAGTCTCGAGAACCGATCGATCGAGAGCTTAATTCGGCAGTCACACATACACACACATATATAAACAGAAATGCACCTGCTATCAACACACACATGCGCATATCTGTACTATTAATCATACACTTGCATATAACTGCATAAACAAACACCTGCTTCAGTCAAACGCACACTCACACATAAACACACACACACACATAAACGAATTTTTGTTCTTTTTTCGATTGGGCGAAAGTTTAAGGCCGTGCTCAGTGCCGATGGACGGGCGTCGTTCGTAAATTCAGGAAGCAAGGCGATTGGTTCGCGCAACGTTCTCGATCGTTTCTCGGGCCAATCGTCTGCGTTTATTATTAACCCTTTTTTTTTTTT